TTCTGTAACTGCTGCCGTCATCAGTTTTAGCAACAAAGACATTTTAACACCACATTAGAACAGGAGAATGTCTAATGTCTGGATTTAGGCTTAGTATGTGGACCTCATTGGAAAAATATCAGTAGGAGGAGTTTAATATTCTGGGAGGAAATGGTAAAGTGAATTGGAGGAGGATGTCTGCTGTTAAAAGTATTTGTTAACCTCTTCCTTGTACTGCAGTCCTAATTAATTTCAAATTAGCCTATCGTACCCTTAAAGTATCCGTCTTGTGTTTTTATTTAAAGGTTTTATGGTCTTACGTTTTTTCGAGTTTTATAAATTCATTCAGCAAAATCTTTCAAAAATCTGGGTCTTTGAAAACCATCAATTAAGCTTAAGGATTTTCGGTACTATCTCTTTAAGTGCTCCATACAAGCCCGCTATCTTCTTATTGGCCAGGTCTCTGGAACCCAATGGAACGAGATGGGTGTGTCCTTGTTCAGCTGCACCTGGAGCATTTGACCATATAAGAGTTCTGCGACTTTGTGATGTCACAAAATCTACAACGTAGAAAAAATGTGTGTGAAGCTAACAGATGGCTTTCTGAAGACTGAGGGGTTACTGGGTGATACTTTTACCTTCTGATTAAAAACTTTACAAACGTGTGGTATACGATTATCCAACACTGTAACAATAAATGAAGGTCTTATATAAGTTCCATACTGCAGTATACAGGTGATTAGGCCGCTCTGTGGACATGTGAGAGAGACACCATTCTCCATGTTGAAAGTTATTGTGCTATTAAATCCACCTTTAAACGACTATTTTAAGGTTGAAAAGTTACATAGTGTTACTTTAAGCCTTGCTCAGAGATCAGGTTAGACCCTTTAATTTTAGAATAATATAATATACTGTTATTGTCCAATATGGAATAATCTGTATGTAATAGATCTTTAATGTCTGACAGGAGAGATTCACAAGCTCAGAAAGTTGCCAGAGCAAAATTTGTACAAAACAGCTGTAAATTCATTTGATTCCCTTCTTACTGTATAAAGCATTTATCCATGCAATAACTGGGTATCTGTCCTTCCATACAATTCACATAATAAATACAATCAAAAGCTTCAAATTTGTAATGCAAAATTCTAAAAACGTTTAACAATCCAGTACAGACTGAATTTGACAATTTAAAATACATACAGAGGAAAGCAGTACCTGAATGAAGTATGTTTGACTAATGCGCAGTCATTCTTTTGCTCACATTGATATAACTTTGACATGATACTCTGTCACACATACACAATATTTGTTTCATTCATTCCAAGCCAAAGAAAGGAGAGTTGTATTACACAGTAAGGTAAAAGAAGGTAACAGGCTTTTTTTTATGTATCAAGGCAGGAAGCAGAGCTGGATAAGAATCTCCAAACCTCCTGAAATTTGAATCAAAATAGTCCTTCTGTCTTTTGAATTACTGTATGTGATGACAGCATAGTGTTTGAAACTGTGCCTTTATGGAACAGGAAACCTGGAGTTGTGGATTGATCTGCTGCCTTTAGATGGAGATCACCTGAGACGCAGACAGACACTGTGCACTCAGCAGATTTGTATTGTAGACATTTGATTACATTTGTTAGTGCTAATGCAACGTTTGGGCTGTTTTGTCTCTTAAAATTGTTATTTTTTTTCTTTTTTCAATTTCATCTTAACCATAGCACCACCGACACAAAAAAATCTGAAAAAGGTAAATTAACATCTGCATTGCACAGTGGACCCATTTGACTTAATCATGAAAGTTCATAATGCCTTAAGTGTGATGTAGATTAATTGCTGGCCTTTTATTTACCTGGAAGTCGTCTCACAAACTTTACCATGCTTTGCAAGCCGTGGAAAACAGTGAGCATTATTTTTGTAAAGCTGTGATGGACCCCCGTCATAACTCCAGGCCCCCATAGGGGTCCTGCACCCCACTTTGGGGACAACTGGCTTGATGGATTGGCACAAAGTTTGGTACAGGCCTCTCTGATCCCCAGAGGATGTATTATATTGAATTTGATAATCCATTAATTTACCATAAATGTCAATGGTGTCAGTAGTTTGCCGGCCTCTGAACACATGCCCCAGAAGTGGCTTTCAGGTCGGCCCATGCTCTTTACATTCAGAGATGTTTGCCTGTTTATCGGCTTAAGAGAAGTTTTATGAATATAAAAACTGTAGATCAAAAAATCACAACACAAAGAGGTTTATTGGTCATTATCTGCAGTTTTTTGGACACACATTTTTAGATTTGATTACAAAAACTCCCACAGATAACAGAGAGCCAAAACTTGACTATGAGTTGTCATGTCCCTTGGATCAGTAAAAGATAAATGGACTTGAGCTTGTAAAATGCTTTTCTAGTCGTCTGACTACTCACACCCATTCACACTCTGATGGTAGAGGTTGCTATGTATCCATCAATGTTAATTTATATGCTAATGAAAAAGCAGTGGGAGCACCTTGGGGTTAAGTGTCTTGGCCAAGGAAACATCAAATGTGTGGCTGTAGGAGCTGGGGATCGAACGCCCGACCTTTGGTTAAAAGATGACCTACTTTACCAACTGAGCCACAGCCGCCCCCGTTAGGCTACATATGAAAACGTCAGCAGCTCATACTGTTTGAAACTGTCGAAGACACTCTGGCTCTAAATGCAGACTAAAATAGTTTACTTTCCAACCAATCAGTCCAAAGCAAGCATGTTCACAGACCAGCAGGGGACAAACCATGAAAACAGCTCCTTCACCTTCCCTTTTGGAAACATTCTTTCGGTGACAAAATCATTTGGCAAACAAAGGACAACTGTTAGTACTTTCAGTGTTCACAGTTTCTTTTTCCTCGATCGTTTCCACACAGAATACCACTGTAGCATCTTGTGAGTCTTGTTGCACGGGGGGGACTCTGAATGGGCTTACCCTGTTTGTGGGCGGGATCGACAAGAAAACAGCTGTCTTTCTCATTAGCTCTGCTTTAGTCTCTGGAACCCCCACCTTTTACACACATACACACCATGCACACTGTTTGATGGGAAGCCAATCACCTGATGCTTTTAGCACCACAGCTGTTTCCTGTCATTTGGTTCAGGGTTAGTTTTGTGTGGCAAAGCTTTGGGGAAGACTTGGTGTCATTTTAATACGATCAGTAAAAGTATTTGATAGTGATTTTCAAGATTTCGATATCTATTGAACACTGTTTTTTTAAATTACATTGTAGAGAAGTTTTTTCTAAAATAACAATTCATGGATAAAAACAAGGTGTGAACAGATGCGGTATGCCATAACATCATTAGTGTGGTCTCTTTTTAAACATTTTTAACAAAAACTTATTATACATGAAAATACGAATACAAGAATATAAGAAAGACCAAAATGTGTGACTGCTGAATAAAAGAGAAAAAAAAAACAATCTTTTTGGAGAATCCTTCTGGTTTTTGGTCCCTCAAATGTGTGTCATTTCCCCAAACACAAATCAATAGCTTATTTTATATGCTGCTTAATTGACTTGGGACTAATGAAGTGCAGCAGATTCCTTCATGTCTTTTGGGGGGAGAGAATCCTGTATTATTAAAAGATTCTCATTTTTTTTAAAAAGACTCACATTTGATCTATAAACTTGATAAATCCCTGGCTTTTGGATGTGCATGGTATGTTGTGAGTCAAAATTGATGGAAATGACTGAATGTGTTTCAGCTGTTTTCACACATGCATTCCTGAAAGTTTCTAGAAAATTTGAGGACAGCCTGTCCCTGAGTTGCTTATTCACACATGTCCCCCATGACAGCTTGAAGTTTTCCCTATTTTGCTGGAGAAGGAAATGGCTTTAAGGAGACAAAGATGTTGCGTATTATAAGATGTATTCACATTATCAACAGGAGTGGAAAAAATACTGGTGAGCAGAAAAAAGTATAAAGCAGCTTTACAACATGTATGAAGATTGCACAAAGCTGTAGCTGTGTCCCCACATCAGCTCACCATGACTCCACATCAAAAGTTGAACAGGAAAAAGTCTGGGTATTGTCTGGGTGAAAAATTTGGCTGTTTGCTTTCACACATGTAGCTAACCCTGAATATTTTGGGAAATTTCAGAAGTTTTGTGCATGTGTGAAAACAACAATTAAAACAGTGAACAGCAGATCCCTTCATTTTATAATACGAATAAATATTTGACCTTTGGGGAGTACATGGCATGTTTTGTCATTGCCGAAATGTGTTTCATATGTTTGTGCTGTATCTTAGGATCTGGATTAAGACTTTTAGACACATCTGCAGCCAGTGATGTTAAAAACGATACTCTGATCAAAGATGACTGTGGTATTGACACTGTGGGTAGGTTTCATGTTCTCACCTATAGGTCAAAGGTGTTGACCTCAGATTTCTCTCTAAATTTAAACTCTGGATTCCCAATCATGACCACCTACATCCCGACCACCCACAGACCCTGTCACACACAGTTTCACTTTGCGTTCGACCTCTCCTGCTGTAAGATAGTCCAACCTAAGAGAAACCTCTGATTTTATAAGCAAACACACAAACAAGCAATCTTGTATGCTACCAGTTCTCTACAGCAAACAATCCAGTTATAAACTCTATTCTTACTTTAATTGCCTTGTTTAAAAGGATTCTCTCAGCTTACTGTGTGTCCTTCTTGGTGCCCCAGAGACAGCAATAAAACAGCACTTTTTATGGTCGTGCTTAGCAACCACTTCTGAAGAGAGGCAACAATCAGTGACACCACCAAAAACCAAAAGTCATTTTTTTCCTGATCTGTTCCCTGCTATCTTTAAATGTAACTCTATTAGAGACTATTAAGACTTCTCCATTCTGAGACACAGACAGAGAGAAACACTGGAAAGTATGAGAACTTGTGAACATGGGTGTAGTTCTCCCACAGCCACTAAAGCCTATGAGAGGATGGTTATGGGAGAGGGCTGACAAAAGGGGGAGGAAAATTAGGCTCTCCAGCATTCTTCTCATTTAAAGCTGTAACTACACAAAAAAAGCACTCACGCAGTCTGGGCTGGGTCTGCTTGCTGCTTACAAGGAGGGGGACTCTTGTATTCATGGTGGTGCAGTGATAACCTGAGCATTTTTCCCCCTTTTTTTCATCTTTTTTCCCCTTTTTCTTTTTGGGCACAGGGAAGGCTCATGTCTGTCTTATAGACATGATGGGCTTCGTGCATTTAAGGACTTTCTTTTTTCTCATCGTCTCCGGGGCTCAGGTTTTGATTGTTTCATGTCAAGACGGGACCAGTGGTAAGTGAACTCCTCTGTTGTTTATTTTTACACCTAATTGCTGTTGAGTATAATGTGTGAAGAGGGCTGATGGTTGCCCTTTGAATTGTCTGAACCTTAACTTTTTACAACTTACACAGCAACTTTTCTCCTCCTGTGGTTAAATCAACTGATACAGAATGTCCTTAAGTTTGGTATTAATTAAGGAGAGAGTCACTTAAGATAAGACAGATTTGAGATTTGTTCATTTCCTGGGTTAGCTTTTTTTAATAGCAGAGGGATCTCTGCTTGTACATGACAGCTTGATTTGTTCTTTTTGTTAAGAATTGTGGTTATTTTGTTGGATAGCTGCCTAAATGTTGAGTGTGTGCATTGTTCATGTAAGTTAGATCTCTTGCTGATAGGACTGAGACAAACATAATCTCATTATTCAAGACTGAGTCTAGCTTAGAGAAGATTTAAAAGAGATGACAGCAACACCAATGTGGATTATCTGCAATTGTCAAACAACCCGTGTATGTCAGGAAACAGTCCCGGGGACATCTGCCAGTGATTGACTGTGATGTCACCCTCAGGCACTGAATATGTGTTCAGAGGAGGGAAACCAGCACCTTTGCGGTTTTATTTTTCTCCTGCACTTTGGAACATTCATTAAGTGTTACCACAAACGTTTTTTTTTTTGTTTTTTTTTTCCCCACTCTCTTTCGGACAGCGTTGTACATCTGTTAAAAGAATTTGCGCAGCGGAGCTTGTGCGTCGGTGAGGGAACACAGACTGCATGTTAATGCGGAGCAGATGTGAGGAGACATGAGAAGCAGAGATGCTGTTGGATTCTTTGAGTCACTCGGTGTGACTGTCGGGGCTGCTCATGTCTTCAGCTGGCAACATCCACACCTGGAACACCTGAGTGCTCGTGTTTTACTTGAACTGTGCTTCCTCTGCTTTTTTTTTTTTTTCCAGCTGAAGTGTTTGATGTGTCGTGTTGTCACAGGGACACACTGAGCTCTGGAAAGTTCACTTGATGGGCCCCTGATGGAGTGTGGAGTCAAACAGTGCAGCCAGACAGTTGTGTTTATCTTGGACAATTTTAGTTTTTCTTTTCCTTATAACATTCACACATAAAGTTCATATAAAGCAGAGACAGCCGAATGACATCATGGTACAAGTTAGAGCACCACCATGTGGTGAATAAAGTACAGGGCCTAAAACATACAGATTGTGCTTGTATAAACTACGCTAAACAAACAATCATGGTGCTGGCACTAGAGTGCAACACTTCATTTTGAGAAGACTTTATGGACATTTATGTAGTTTTTAAATACATTAAAGAAACAATATACAACTTAAGCAAGCTCTAAATGTTTCTGCTCATTTTTATGTGAATGAATGTGTGTCTAATGTGACTCAAAAGCTCTTACTGACTAATACTTGGAACTGTCTGTCCATACTCCAGCAAAGTGATCCTGCAGGCTTCTTTCCATGGAGTGGTGGGTGAGGTGATTGCATTTCGACCTAAGTCAAACAGTGGAAAGTTGATGGTTTCTGTAGACTCAGGGAAAATGTGGTTCACCAGAGCTTTTGGACGCTGTTCTCGTGTGTGTGTGTGTGTGTGTGTGTGTGTGTGTGTGTGTGTGTGTGTGTGTGTGTGTGTGTGTGTGTGTGTGTGTGTGTGTGTGTGTGTGTGTGCGTATGTGTGTGTGTGTGTGTGTGTGTGTGTGTGTGTGTTTAAGAGGGGGGAGGGGGGTCTTCCAGGGCTTGCTCCACGTGATGACCAGTGACAGGAGGCCTATTTGATGTTCAGATTTGTTGGAGTTTGTTAGCAAAGATGCTAAGTAATACGAAAGCCCTTTGGGAACTAAAGAAACATTTAACAAGTCCACACATGCAAATTAACTCCCACAGATGGCCACACAAATACAAGTCCCTGTGTTTCTTGCATTTAATTGGGGCTTTTATTTGGAAAATTGCAGCTTCAAGTTGAATGTGGTGAAATGTTGACGAAGCTACATAATTGCAAGCAGACTCATTCTCTCGGTAAAATATCAACATTATTCCTCTGAAAGATACAAAAAGAAGTCAGCAAAAGTTGAGGACATTGAGGTTGTTTTCAAAGATTCCTGAGGAGCCAGACTTTAATGGAATTTAGAAAATCATATGTAGCGCATGAAAGACCGAAAACCATGTTTAAAACAAATGTTGAAATGTTTTATTATGGAGCTCTGGATAAAAGTCATATGGCGGCACATGTGCGGAAAGTTAGCTTGCAAGAGAACACAAGTTGGCAAATGAGATCAAGGAGCAGACGTAGAGCACAGAATTGGAAAAATGGTGATGCCAGCATAAATTACCGGGATAAAACTATAGCTAAAGCCTCGATGCACAAAACCTACGGGAGAAGCAGAGGTGTTTAAATAATATTAGGAGTAAGGTTAAGGGATGTGAACATGGAACAAGTCGAAAAACCCACATAGGTTTCTGATTAAAAAACAAACAGCAGGAATCTGTGCCCATAGCTTTAACCTCAGATAGCTTAATACATCTGCATGTGTGTGTGTGTGTGTGTGTGTGTGTGTGTGTGTGTGTGTGTGTGTGTGTGTGTGAGCATGATCATAACTCCTCCCAGACGCTGACATAGCTGTAAAACATCTTCAAAGATACCACTTAGCACCATACATCAAAGAGACCAAACACTCAGACTAACAGTGAATTTGGTTTGTTAGTAGAGTCATCGTTGTCTCGTTGTCTCCTGGTCTCCTGGTTTTTAATTTTTTTTTATTTCAGACTCATTCCAAGCGAAACGCATATCTGGAAAATGTTTCCCCACTCTGAGAGAAGCACTCGAGCAGAAAGCAAAAAATCTGGTATTCCAAATCAACGCACCAACATGAGGTCACCCTGTCCTCCAAATTGCTTCCAGTTGTTGTTGCCACATCACTGACATTGCAACAAATGGGCTGTTTTCTACCAAAGCAGAAACGTCCAAACATGTGAATTCAACCAGGTCCACAGACGGCTTTGATTAGAACCACATGCTGCATTTTTCAGCTATGACTTGATTACACGCCTCTTTTCTTCCACAGTTAAGGGGGTCGGCACACCCGATTGTACAGTGTCTTAGGTTACACGTTTTGAGGAGGGTTTTTATCAGTGAAGCGTCTGAAGTGAACCTGAAATCTTTCGGTGGCACAGACGATGGAGCTGATAAGTTTTAATGCAGCTTATGCCTCTAAGGACTGCTCCATGGGAACTACTTATAAACCAAATTATTGCAGTCAGCAAATGGAGGCTTGGGGAGGGGGGATGATTTCCAGATGTTAAAATAGTGGCTTTGGATTTGGATATTATTGGGGGAAAAAAAGATTTAGCCTTAGAGATAGTTGGAACAGGAGGATGTTAAACGGCTGATGTAAGACATTATGTCTCAATATTGTTTTAGGGTGACTTGCATGGATGGATGTGGCTCTTATTGGCTCTTGTTTCGCCCAAACAGTCTCCAGTATCTTTACAGTACGCTCGAATCATCCACAGGTTCAAGTTAAAGTAACTATTCGTTCAAAGGCCTGACAATTACAGCCCCCACTGACAGGTTTCCTGCTCCCTGATTGGCACTTAGCCTCCAATCTGCCCTGTGATCCTCTCAGCCGGTCCATGTGGGAGGATGACAGGGCAGGACGTAAACACTGAATGGGCTGGGTTCCCATGTGCTGTAGCAGTTTTGGCTCATTCTAATTAAGAGTGGACCAAAAACTGCTACTGGTTCCAGTCACAAGCCTTCTCCTGAAAAATGTCTGAAGTTTTTGCGGTGAGCTGCACGTGTGGATGCAAACAGACACATTTTACACTCTGACTTATCCGGAGTTTCTCCTGCCAGCCCCCTACTACTTTTCTGCAGGAGGTCTGAGTGAACTGATGTGAGAACTCAGCAGGATATTTCATTTTTAGCGAGTTGGAGGGGATGATGACATTTAGTCCCTCATTTACCTTACCTTATACCTTATCCACCATACCTTTTTTGGGGGAAATGCAAAATAATGGAATTTCAAACATGTGATTAAAATGCCATTAAGCGCATTTAACTTTTACATTTCAGCTTTAACCGCCATTAAAAGTGTTATCAGCCTTAATGATTACTGAGCTTAACAAGCTGCCTTTTCCAAGTTCTTAATTTGGTGTTAATCACACAAAAAAAAAACAATGGCAACATATATAAAACAAGCACAACTTAGAAATTAAGACCAACATTATCTTTCCCAACAACTTAAAGTTTACATTGTCCATCCTAATATGCTACAAAAAACAAACACAACCAAAATGTTAATGTCTTTGTTTGGAGGAGGCCAGCCGCCAGTTTTCCTGTGCGAAGTGTTGATACAGCTGGTTGTCGTTATTCCAAAAGGAGGATTTTTGCCCTCTGGAGCTCATCCTCTGCAGGTTGGCAGGTCTCAGTGTAATATTACGCTCCCTCCGAGCATGTTCTCTGGCTCTCCCCTGGTGACTTTTTCAAAGGCTGCTGTAATTGGTTCAAATCCTCCAATTTCAAGTGAGGTTGTGTCCCATCTGGTAGCTTCTCTCTTGAGGCGAAGTGCTCTGGGCTGAGGTATGATTCAGCAGAATCAGATTTAAGTGGGGGTTCAGTAGATTTCTGTAAAATAAACGTGATTGTAGAGATAGAGAAGAAATAAATGCATCAGAGACCTTAAGGAAGGCTTAAAGCAGAAGCACAACTGGGTTAAAATTTGACTGCAGTTAATGAACATGTATCGTACAAATTTCTAGTAGAAGCCCTCTTCTTAAAAATTTGATCATTTAGATTCTTAAGCACTGCGCTTACTCGTTAAAATGCCACAAACTGGAGAATGTCAGCCATAATTGCAGGTTTCGGTTAGACCTAAATTCTATGTTGCAGCGAGGTTGTGTATATTACAACTGCTGAGGGTGAACAAGTGGAGCTACACGGGTGATGGTGGGTGACAAGGGTTAGCAATGTGGCCTGAGTTATGTTTAGGCTTTGACAGCTTGTT